AGTCACAGTATAAGATAAAATCGTACGCAACTGATATATAGTGGTTAGATTGCAGGACTTCTGTCTTGGTTGCCTGGTTTAAATAAAGGGTGTCCCACGAAGAGGGTTAAAAATTCAATTTTATATTTCTTGCCCATTCATACCGAACGTTTTGAAGCATATAGAAGATTTTAGAAATATTCTGGGACAATTTCAGCTCCCCATTGAAGATCATACCAATTTGCTTCTTATAAAAATATTTTCTTGAGTTATTATTTATTTTTTTTACTACATGGCAGATTTAACTATGTGTGACTCTTTTTTAAAGAGTTACTTAAAGAAACAAGTTTAAACCCATAGCGTCAATAATGTGGAAGAACTAAACCGATCAATTTGAAGACGAACTTCTCCGGATACCACAGAATTTCTTCATAAGAGCTTACGATTCATTTGTTAAGCACTGTTATGAGTGAGTCGCTGTGGCTGATTCACAGTTTGAATGTGATAGTAAAAATACTTTACAATACCAAAAGCACCATTTTAAATATTTTTAAAGTTAGGCCTACATTTTTCAATATGCCACAATTTTGTTTCTAGAAGGATTAGGGGTTTGATGTTTTGCCAGAATATTTTTAAAACATACTTTATAAATTGTGTAATTATGTATTATGTTATATTATGTATTTCAAATCTTCGGTGCATAAATGTTGCAAGTAATATAAAATCAAACGTTTAAACCTCTTCGTGGGACACCCTAGCCAATGGCTTGATTTGCTTATGTTATGATGTCATGTTCGTATCTAAAAAACCTCAAACTATTGGAAAAAATATAAGTCTCCTAAACTAGGAAAATATGCCTTATTTGTCTATGGTTATACTGTCTTTATTGAAACACCATAAACCAACCAACAGTTTAGTATTTTTTAACCTTCTATTGATATGGACCAAGAAAATATTCACCCCAAAGTTTATTTGTTTAAATCTAATAATATTTAAATCAATTTATTATAGTATCAAGAAAGAACTCCTAATAGGTTGACAAATATTTGTTAAGCATTAAGGTATTATTTTTTATATTTATGGTTTCCTTATATTGACGTTATGTCGGTGTCTTGCGTTTGCAACGTGGAGAGAACGCTAAGAAAATTTTGTCTTTTAAATTTACTGTATATGATAGTTGCGTATGTACCATTTATTTGATCAATTTCATAGAAACAAAACTCAAGTGACTTTTAAAAGTATCTTCAATTTCATTTAGGTAAGTGGTGACAGCTTATTAGGCTACTTAGTACGATTTATAGGCCTACGATGCGCTGATATACGTATGATTACCTAATTTGAAGTCGATAGGTGAAAAATAATCTTTCGACATAGATTAAAGAAAAACAACGAAAAACTTTCGCTTCCATAGGTTAGTTAAACATATCCTTATAATTAACTGACACATATTCAATACATATAAACAAAAAATACCAATGTTCCAACGATGTTTGGAAACTTATTAACTGTAATTTTTCCTAATGTGTGAAAAATATTCGGAATGAGAAAATCACTTAGATAAGGGATTTCCAATTTAGATTTCAGTTTGGATAAGTTGAGTACTCCAATTTAATAAAATCATAAAGAAAGGTTTGTGCTATTTATTATGAAAGAATTATAATTCCTAGTCACGGACAACATTATAGAAGCTGATTTTATCAAGTTCGTTTCCTATCAGAAAATGTTACTTTAGCGAAAATGAAGTTATAACATTCAAAGTTTTCAAAGAAGACCCACGCTTTACTTAATGTTTTAAATGTTGTTTTTATATATATATATATATATATATATATATATATAAGAATGAATAATGTATTTCGATTGATTCCAATACATAAGATTGCCCTGATAACTAGCCGATCAATAAGTGTTTTAGTGTTTAGTAAGTTTAAAACATGGCTTATATTTATTAATTAGTCAGTGTAAACTCTCTTTTTTTCTTTTTTTTCTTTTTTGTTGGTAATGTTGCGCTAAATTAGCTGTTTGTTTTCTTATTATTTATATCTTGTTCTTGGTAAAATCTTGAGTTATTATAGGGGGTTTGACGTCAATGCTAAGATGAAACAGTTTATGATCAGTTTCATGTTAACATTGGATTATATAGTGTAAAAGTCTTCTTTTCACACTCAAAACCGAGAGCTATCAAACTGAAATTGAAAGCTAAGTAAAATACTAAATAGGTACCTGTTATTTTTATAAAGTGGCCGTCAACGCCGTCAACCTTCCAAACAAACTAAACAACTCGAGCGATGTTCACGGTCTCCTGGTACTAATTTTTATGTAATCAATTCTCAAGTCTAAAATCCATTGCACGACAACTGTTTTGACAACAGTATATCATGACAAATCTAAAGAATACTTCGTCTATTTTAGGTTAGGAAGTTCAAGGAACATCATCACTAATGCATATACATCTTATCATTTATCTGCAAACTATGGTAAAATGTCTTCTTCCATTTGTGACAGAAAAGTTGCACAAATGATTCCCCTATCTTTTCACCACTTCCTCTCCGTCTGTGTGGCAGCGCTATCTGTAAATTGACATTCCGTTTATGGTATTATAATATGTATCACGTCGTGCTAGCAAAGTATAAACACCTTCTATCAATAGTTAAATCTGGAACTTCATTTATTTTTACACATTACTGAGCGCTTGGAATTATTGTAATATTCACTCTTCCCTATCATTAACTTTGATTTAGGACCGCTTCTAATATTGGGAATAGAATTAATCTTTTGAATTAGTTTCCATAATAATCGTAGTAGCGACGTGATATTTTCTCCAATATTAGGGATCCAGGTGAAGCTCTTTTTCATGATATAATGCAAATTGCTATCTAAAAGAAAGACCCTCTCTTTAAAACATGAAAGTTCTTCATTATTCATTGGTGGCAATTGCAAGAAACCGCCAATAAAGGAACTTGAAGCTATCTCACATCATTGACATATAAAAGTTAGTTATATTTGTTATGCTTTTATTTGTTTCCTTTTTTTAATACCTGGGTTGGATTGGATTCAGAATAACATAAATCATAAGTTAAAAGGCACCGGTGACCCAAAGCCGCACTAGATATTCGTTGACCAGTAAAAGGCTCATCAATGAAGATGGGTGGCGGTTTTTTGTTGCACAGGTTGCCCAAGTTGGTGTGGCAAAACGAAGTTGAGGTTTAGTTTGTGTTGGCCACGACTATATGTTTAAACCATTGGCTATTTAATATAAATATTTTAATGATAATATTTATTATTTACTAACAATATTTAATAAAGCTGTCAACCATCCGAATGAGGTAAATCTCCAGGCAATAGTCCGTGAGGAGGCCTTGTAACACACACTAGACTTCACACTTTCCCTTTCCGTCAGTTCAGTGCCTAACCTTTGGCACTCCTGCACTTTAATTCTTTACTAAATACATAACAAAAACGTGTAGGTAAATATCACAAACACTAAATACCGTCTAAAACAACTAACACCATAGATAACCGAGGGGAGTGTATTTAATATATGGTTATATGTAGGTAGGCCTTCCGTGAATATCACAATTCATGTTCAGTTACCAGCAAGCATAGTAAAAAAATAACAAACAAACAAAAAATCATAGCCAAACATAACGTCATTTGCCTTCCCTAGGAAATTCAGGCTTTTGGAGCTATGAACACTAATTATCAGCTATTATGTTGATGTAGTATCTTTATCTCTTACTCTTATCTCTTATGAAATGAGATAATGAAGGCGCATCCGAATTACATGATTCAAAGACATTCCAGACATCAACAATTGTTTAAAAGAGATCACTACTCCACCTCTTACATTCAGCACAGTCCGGTACCTCGCTTGATGCGCACAGGGAACAGCATCTGCGGAGACGTCAACTTCTTTGGCCGCAGTGTCTCCTCCTTCAAGTCCGAAACGAGTGCCGTACTCAGAAGAATGCACATGTAGTGAAATATTGTTAAATGTCACTCATCTGTTTCTCCTTCTGTTTTACTGTTGTATGGTCTATTTATTTTGTTGTTTGTTGTTAAATAGTCTATTTATATTGTTTTTGTTGTAATTGATCTATATTGTCTTGTTCAAAATGGTTTGTCATGTAGTTTTTGTTGTTAATAGTCTATATTATGATTGTTTTTGTTGTTAAATTTTCTTATTTATTTTGTTTTTCGTGCAACATTCCTGTATAGCTGTCACGTCCTGTAAATCATGTTATTTTATTAATCAAAACTGTATTGTTATCGTATTTCATATTTTTATATTTCATATTATTTATTAGTATTTCATACTTGTTAAAATATTTAATTATTGATCACACTAACTATCAATCTCAACTCAACTCTCCTGTAAAATGGCGTTTGCCGTGTATGCAATAAATAAATAAATAAATAAAAGGACGAATAATTGACTTGAACAGAACCGGTATGGATCATAAACATAAACAAAATGACGTTGCTGGGCCGAATCACGGCCACCTTAGAGGCGGCCGTGCCCGCATCCTATACTAATAGCATTAACATATGATTTTGAAATGTTAAATAATTTTTATTTACAGACCAGCTCCAGCAGCATCATTTATTTAAAATTTTGTTTAAGTTTATGATCCATTTTCTATTCAAGAATTCATTATTTAAGGCATAGATAAAACATACTCCCTTAGTTCAAGGCTATGGGATAACGGATAACACGATACGATACACGATAATTACGATACCCATAGCGTTGATGTCCCAGAACGTTGACACTATCGTCGCTGTGGGATATACACTTTGTGTAATTATTTTTAACGTCTGGGACCCCACGGTTAAAAATAAATATGCCACGGGTATCGAAAGTCAATGACTGTGCATTATAGATTAAGCAGCTTCATGACAAACCTTATACCTCATTTTCTTGTGAACAGAAAAATGATCAGCTTCAACTTCAACCTTCAAAATCATATTTTCTGCATTCTGCTTCTGCTTCTGCTAAAACTAAACAAACTTGGCCTAAACTACACTGTAGGTTATGTTAAGAGGGAACTCTTAATCAAACTTTTAAGTGTCCAATAATTTTCCAACAAATATTTGAAGCTTTTAAACTGAAAAGTGTGCAATACAATTATTCAAGGAACAAGGAACATCAATGAGTTCTATATTTTACGTTGTGCCTATTGTTACACTAGCGACTTTGTGGCTATACTTTTTGACATGTATTTCTCCTGAAGTGTCAAATATTTCCGTAAGTTACCCTCTTTTATGAAATAGCATAGCAATACAACCTATACTAGCTAACTTTTGTGAAATCAGGAATTTATAGGCTAGGGTAGGCCTACTGGGCAAAACTTGCACATCCGACTAAGTTAACTTAGGCCTACATTGTTGTATTGCCAAACATAGACAATAGTATCACTATCACTTGTCATCAAATATTAATCTTATTACTAGGCCTAAGCTACGTAGACCTATTGATTGGTAGACTTCCGTATCTGTTGGCACAAACAACCGAATAAAAATATCGGTCGATTATTCGATATAACTTATCGTTTGGTTAGTTAGGTAAGGTTAACCTAACCTAACTAACCAAACGATGTATCGAAAGAAACGCACTTAAGCTTGGCACGGCATCTCCCGAGGCAACTAAGCTTTCATGATTGTGCCAAACTCTTGAATACTTCCCATAGTCATGGAAGAAACATTATTATAGTCTACCATGATTGCAACCAAACCTATGACATCATCAGATAACAACATCATCGTCTCCTGCGTTCACAGCCCAATCCCTAATATCTCCCACGACCCATGGTGGCAGGGAAATCTTTTTTCCTCAATTGCGGCAAAATCGTAGATATAGGCTATCTCGCGCCGAAAAATAAACGTTAGGCCTATTAGCGTCTTCCGCAATTGTTTCGAGCTATTGAAAATCTTCTGCGGCTGCGGAGACACCGTCACCGTTCCTCGCGGGGAAATGTTTTCGTTGATATTCGCGATCGCGGCAAAAGCGTAAGGCCTAATCTTTCAATTTGTGAGTGTGATCCTCAAGGACATAGCCTAACAGCTTTTACTTTTAATTGGGCATTATTGTATTAAGTGCTGAGAAAATGGGCTCGAGCTTGATTTTCTGACATTGTGTTTGATTTCTCAAGCTTGTAGGTCAGGCTCTGCTCTGCTCGAAAATCGACATTATATAAAAATCAATAGTTTCCAAAGTAAACCAATCTGATCTGGCCCGAGGCCCATCGGTGAGTGACATTTTTTACCTGACTCGAACTAACAAATCTAAAGTGCAGCCGAAAATCCTTCTTTAACATTAATTAAAGAAGGGAATTATTTATTAGCTAGTGCCCTAGCCACCTAGGTTGATTCGCCGATTTTATCGTAAAAAACATTTCAAGTTCATTTAGTTGAATCAGCATAGAGGGCCCTCTCTGGTATGACCCGCCGGGGGCTAGGAGGATTAACATTAATTTTTATCATCCTAGGCCGGTGGCCACATTGGTTCTAAATACGGCACTATTATGGGGCCTTCACACAGTCCACGAGAACAGTTCATACAACCTGCATGACTGATGACAATTCTTTTACTTAGGTTGATAGAGAATTTATATCGATCGGTCAAGTAATAGTGTCAGTTTAGCTGTTGTAAACTACTTGTCCTAGTGCTCTTAACTTACTAGTATTAACAAAATTCCGTCATTAAAAAACGTAATAATTCTCTTATAAATATTATTATGATAAGGGGCCTTTGTGGTTGAGGCTGTGGCACAATTGCGGGCCCGTGTCCCAGTAAAATTTCCCAAACTATCCCGGTCAAGGCTTATGGCCCCCTAGCTCGCGGGCCCCCCACACCGCGTCCCTGCGGGCCCGTTATCACCGCCACTGTTATCATCCGTCCTCACATTGTTTGAAAGAACCCTGATACACCCTTATTTAAAGTTTGAATTACGACCTCAGTGTAGCCTGGTCATTCATGGAAACCTGTAATAAGTTATGAGACTACCCCCTTCTAAGGCTGTGTAGTCCTACATTTCTCTTCATGTTATTAGCTTGTGTTTCCTGGATGTAGTGGGACAGGGAAGATAGAATAGCAAAACCCTGTCTCTCTGTTCTGTACTGTACTAAGAGGGCCCTGACGAAATATGTGCTGTGTCACTACTTATAGAGCGCTATTATACAACTACTTCCTTCAACATTAGTAGTACACAGTAAGTTATAGTGCGTTCCGTTAAATATTTCCATCATGCTTTTCTTTACAAATATATATCCAAGTTCATCTTTGTATTTAAGGTGTATGCTAGGATCCTACTAGGCCCTACCTATGTTTTAATATCCAGATTTAACTGATAGGTAGGCCTAATGATTTAATAATGTGATAGGTGAGTTTGATGAGAACAAATGTATAATGCACCACAAAATGACTCTTTCCTATACCCACGGTGCATGAATAACTTAAGTAGAGCAGACTTTCTCTTTCTTCAAGATAAAAATCACCTACAGTATCTAATTTTAAAACCCCTAGGGTAGGCTACTTTAGAATGAAATGTTTTCAAATATGGTCCTATGTCAGATAATTTGTTTATTTAGCTACCTACAAAATCATGAAAAAGGTGATGTGAAAAAGGGGTTTTAGCTGCCATAAATTAAAACTTGCACACCTAATAATTGACCCATTTTACACTATAGCCTGGCTGCAATAAAAATGCCCTCTGTTCGAATAATAATTTGATGCATGTTTTGGCACAAACCATGTACTGAAGTTTTGCTTACATATTATTAAATTATCTTTATTGTAACTGAATTTGGCTAGAGTTTTAATTAAATAATTTTTTTTTTCCTTGTAGGTTACTCGAATAAACATCAAAGGACTTTAACTAATGGCGTTGAGTTGGAGCAGATTTTTAGTTTGTGCACATCACTTTTTATCTGTGTCCGACTTAATAAATGATGGATGGTCATTGTTTAAAAAAGACGATCGTACCCAGTCACCTGAAAATTGTTATCTTGTAAAAAAGGAAATCAAACAATTACCTTCAGTTCTTCTATCTCAGCAATGTCCTGATGATTATGAAGAGAATTTTGATCAAGACCCTTTGAGTGCAGAATGTAGTAAAACAGAAAATCTAGTTTGGGAATACCACATTTTGTACAGTCCGAGTTATAGTGTGCCCGTTTTGTATTTCAACGTTAGAAATACAGCAGGAAAACTCTTACAGCTTGAAGAGGTCTGGGCAAAACTCAATGTGCCGAGAGAGGTTCTTTCTGAGAAATGGAGTTTTGTCACCCAACAAGAACATCCGATAATGCTCCGTCCTTTCTTTTTCTTACATCCTTGTAAAAGCTTAGACATTTTGAAATTGAGTGAAAATTCCAAGTTGAATCCATTGGTGACCTGGTTAAGCAGTATTGCCAACATTGTACATCTAAATGTTTCCCTAGACTACGGAAAAGAAGTGGAATTATAGGTGTGTCAATTAATTATTAGTTTACTTGAGTTAGTTTCTGAGAGCGTTTATTAACTATCAATGAGTTTCCAGTACCGGTATGGTATTGTTCAAAATTCAGGACAGTGGGACAGTGGGTTGTGGGTTTCTTTGGTAAACATTTATGATTTCCTGTCTGTATTGATACTTTAAAATCAAAACAGCTATCTTAGAATCAGAAACTTTATTGACTCAGGAGTAGGCTAACTTGCTTTTGTGTTATATATATTTATAATTTTTGCCATCAGAAGTAAGAAGTTTGAAGTATCTTTGGTGCACTCCTGACATATGTATAGAATTCTCTGCTCCTGCGTTGAGTGGGTTTCATAATTGACTTGGGATACTCAACCACCTGTCTGTAACAAGTTTTTAGTTTTATTGTTGTTTTTTTTTTTTTTTTTTACTCAGTAAGGACCTAGCCCTAGCCCTAGCCTATTTGAATCACTGCCCTCTTAAGGAGTACTTTTGACGAGGTTCCTGCTTTTGAAGTTGTATTTTTTCCTTTGGTTTTTCATAAAATAACATGAAATATTTTACAATAAGTCTTATAGTTTCAGTTTATCATTGTAAAAAAGACACTGCATTAGAAAGAAAACTGTATTGTACTATAGGCCTAGCCCATTTTGTGAATTTAATTACAGTTAAGTCTATTCTAATCCAAACTGGCTTCATACGTAATTATGGGAATTAACTGTTATTTCACAGTAATGTATTCTCCTAGATTTGAAAGTTTAATTGTTTCATGCCATTTATTCTGATTTATTAGTAGCTTATAATCTGTAAAATTAAGCATAGGGCCTATTTAAATATACCATAAACATTTTTGATTATTTTTCAGGGTAAGCTGAGTTTCCCTACTAGTCTCCTTGAACTGAAGGACCTGGCAACTTTATTAGGTTCCTACTACAAACAAAATAGTTTTTATGTGTTTGTGCTATTCTGTAGCGCATACTTGTACAAACAAGCATTCATCATTCCTGGATCTGTTTTTATGGTAAGCTTGAAAATACCTTGTAGGTAATAAAAAAATGGTATCATAAGTTGCTGGATTGGTTTTTTTAATGCTAGCTCTACAATGAAAAGTTTAACGAAAAAAAATCAAAAAATCCTGAGAAAAGTCAGTTATTTTTCAGTAGTGCCTTAAGATTCTAAACTTAAATCCATTATTCCTATAACAGCTTAACTAGCACTTTTTTTTTGTTTCTAGCTCTGTATTTGTTGTCAGTGACTAAACTTCATTGTATCCACACTGATTATCTTTGCTAAGATTCAACTACTGGATCCCTAATATTTTCTTTGTAGTTTCCATTACTGAGTTATTATTTTCCTACAGAATGTTTTGGCGGGAGCGTTGTTCGGAGTTTTGAAGGGGTTCCCACTGTGTTGTCTACTTACTGCCTCAGGAGCCACTGCTTGTTATCTCATGTCTCGAGCTTTCGGATCTTCAGTGCTCCAGCAGTACTTTCCCTCACAGATCAAGTTTCTCAAAGAAAAGGTAAACTGGATTCGTAAGCCCGCTAATCCAAAATCAAATGGTTAGGCACGTTCAATAATTCGGCACCGCACTAATGGCCAAGACAAAATTTGTATGCTGCCATATTAGCAAATTCAGGCAAATCTGAAGCCATCGTCAGAGACGTCAAGAGAATGGCAAACGTTTAGCTGCACTCAATAAAATATGAGGGTGTTTCATAATTTATTTTTATAAATGTATAGACTTAAAAAAAGAGTAATCAGATTATAGAGAAAGTATAAAGAATCAAATAAATGCGCTGCCAACCATTTCCTTCTGAAAATTAGTGCCATTACTGTCCCGCAGTAACGAATATTTTTAGAAGACATTCAGTAATTAGGCACTATCAATCTGGCACCAACAAGGTCCCAAACTTGTCAGTTTAGCGAATATCTATTGTACTTCAGTCATCACTTGTTCATTCGAATACTGTAACAGTATTCTAGTGTCACAATCATCATCTCAGAGCAAATAAATCTTGAACATTGTATCAGATAAGCGGTGGTTTTTATTAATGACCAATGTGGTAGTTCTCATACAAAGTATATCCTCTATCATGTAAACTTAAAAAAAAACTATATTAGGCCTACAGGTCTACCCTATTGTATAAAACAGTTTTTTTTTTTCAAACATTCTTTATTTCATTATTGTACATGAAATTAGTATGTAGAATTGCGTCAAAAATATTGTCATAATCATAAGACTAAATTAAAAACTAAACATACTAAAATTCTTCCAATGAATACAGTGGTCTTGAAATAAAATAATTTTTTAGCAATTTTTTAAACTTATCTGGTAAATTATTATAAAATTTTCCTCCAGCATATGTAGTTTTCTTTTTGTAAAATTCTAGTTTGTGAATAGGCATTGATATGTTTAGCCTATTTCTAGTATTGTAAGAATGACTTTCCCCTAGTAAACCCAATTCATCAAAGTGAAGCTTACAATACATGATCACTTCATAAATGTACAAACTATAAACAGTCATGATGCCAAAATTTTTGAAATGCTTTGACAGTGTCTCGTCATTTTAGATTACGCATTATTCTTAAAGCTCTTTTTTGTAAAATCAGAATACAATCTAAATTACTTTTAGTCGTTGCTCCATACACGCAGATTCCGAAATTGATATTTGCATGTATGTATGCATAGTAAACAGTTTTTAAGGTTTCTGGATTGCATACTTTTGATAGCTTGTAAAGAGCAAATAATCCAGATATAACCTTTTTAGCCACTTGTTCAATGTGGTGATCCCAACTCAAATTACTATCAATTGTTAAACCAAGAAATTTAGTATTTTCAATTTTGTTAATTTTATGGTTATTTAGACCAACTGACACTGATTTAAAGTCATTAATTTTATGTTGTTTTGTACTAAACTGAATAAGACTAGTTTTGGTAGGGTTAAGCAATAATTGATGATAACAAAAGTAATTATTAAGATCGATTAAGTTTTCCTGAATAGAAGATTCTAGTTCCTTGACTGATCCACCACAAATTTTTAAGTTTTCATCATCTGCATATAGGCAGAGCTTGTTTTGTTTGTTTCCAGACACCAATTTTGGCAAACCATTTATATATATTAAAAATAACAGTGGACCTAGAATTGAGCCTTGTGGTTTTGCTCATGTCTTGATGTTTTTGCAGGTAAACCGCAATTCAGACAGGTTAGTTTACTACCTCCTGTTTCTGAGGCTGTTTCCAATGTCGCCCAACTGGCTCATCAATCTTCTCTCCCCCATTGTAGGAGTTCCTCTTCACGTCTTCTTCTTTACTGTTCTTATTGGTGAGTATTCTGTTTGTAGTACATGGAAACATTATACGAAAACCCCTCTAATCCATTGTTTACAGCAAAGTGTTAAGGTCAACTTGCCTTAAAAATAGTCTGAGCAATGAAACATTGCAGTAGACAATTGCTAACTAACATTTGTGACTTTGGCAATGCCAGGTGACTGAACGTCTTCTAAAAATAGCCTTTATTGTCGCTTTGATGTTTACTGATCACTCCTGACTCCGACAGTTGCTCTGACTCTTTCGATCACACCTGAATCTCTCAAATGCTGATATAGCTCAAAACAGAATTCAAAAAAATGTTTATAGATACCGTAGTTCGAGTACTGAACCATCGGATGTCAGGTGACAGTAACCAACAGCAAGATTAGTGATATACATTTAAAGAAGTCTAGATAAAAGTACAAGTTAATAAACATTTTTGCTAAACATATAACAAAAATTTTAAATGAATGTTTCGTGATCGTTTTTATTCAAAATTTCATTTCTCGGTTAACTCTGTTAATTTTCTAGAATTTTTACTTTTGACTATTTGGATGTAACTTTTAAGGATTTTAAATTATTTGCTCTTAAATATGTTAATCTCTTTAATTACATTTTAAAAATATAAAATATATGCAGTTCACAAAATGCTTGAAATAACAATACAATACTATTTAAATAAATAAAAAAATACTTGTAACATCACAAAGTAACACATAGATTCAATAACATTAAAGCATTGGGGAATTTTACATTGTAAAACAATTTTAGAGAGTTTAACCCTTAACCTTTTTAATTTGGATTTTTCATATTAATTTTAAAACGTATTGAATAAAACTATTGTGCTGAGATAGAAGGTAAGTGCTTCTATCTCAGCACAATAATTTTATTCAATATGTTTGGATAGGTCAGTTTAGGCCTTGTATAAGGTTTCATCTTCATGTGTATATGGTTAAAGAAACTTTAAGTGCCTGCATATTTTATGTGATGGGAAACCTTACAATAACTAGACCAAAATTGAATCTATAAATGTTTAAATTTGTTGCATTATCATAATAGTTTCATGAAGCAACTTAAACACACAGGACCCTTTTAAAAAAATAATTATTCATTCTCACAAAATATAATTGAGTTGTTGGTTTGTAGGTCTGATGCCGTACAATTTCCTGTGCGTGCAAGCCGGTGGAATGTTGGCAACCCTGAGGTCAATGGATGACGTGCTGAGCTTCACCACACTTCTACAGTTGGCAGCAATGGCTGCCGTGGCTCTCGGACCGAGTTTCATCCTAAAGAGGAAACAATCTTTCAGAGACTCATTTGACACGTCAGAAAACTCTGAGAAGAAAACACTTTAGTGATATGTGACGCCGTGACGGTTAATAACATGATTTTCACTGTGACATTCCACGATTTTAAATATTTTAATATTTTTCACACTGGACTGATTTAATCTTGGAGAGTTTTGTGATGTGTGATTTGTTATGTGTACCACCTTGTTACCTGTTTGTGATAGTTTTTTTCAAGTACAACTTTTTCTAACAAAGTAGTGATGATGCCTAATTTTTTAACATAGTCTATAGTTTCCTCGGCTGGCTTAACTTAAGATAAAGTTAAGGCTCCATAGTTTCAACTCTCAACACCCTTCTGTGGATTACAAATACATCTTAAAACTTTCTGGAAATATTTTAAAACACAGACATGTTAAGGAAAGACAAGTTTTGGAAACCGTGAGGGATTTTATATTTTTAATGCAATGGTTTAAACAAATCGTAATATTTATTTATTGTAATTGTAAAATTATAACCTACTGAAATATTTAATTAATAATATATATAATAATAATACGCTTTAAATATTAATGAATGTTTTAACTTAACCACCCATGGAAAGCTCTTGGTTTTTAGGAACGTTATGATGGGAATATTCTAAACTAGGGGTCAAATCTTAATCGTATAACAAACCATATCAGCTATACACTATTGAAATGTTAACATAATTTAGACCACTGCCGTAGGCTTAATCTGTATCCAAAAAAGTCATATTTACGTAGTCCAGGGCCTATCAGAAAGAATATTAATACTTACTTTACATAGCCTTCATCTGAGCCATCAGATCGTCCAGGCTGACTGCTGTGTCAGTGACAGTGTCTGAGTTGTCTGTCTGTGTAGATGACTGTGGGACAGAGTACGCAGCCCGAACCCCCTCCACTAACCCCTGCACTGCAGGAGCATCGTCTTGCAGCTGTTCTGCAGGCGTCTCATCCACTAGACAGATACCTACAAACATTTAAGACTCGTGTAATTAATCAAATCAAGTGACTTTTGGGATTTCAAATTCATTTTGTTTTTGTGATTAGGTTATTTTTTTATTCCACACATTCTAAAATCACTAAAATTATTTTTTTTTAACACATTGCGACATACTTTGTTTTGGTGTTTACTGTTTTTCCTTTAAACTAATTTAATCTGTGAAAACTTTCATTTTTCTACTTCAAAATTATATAAATTCTTATACAGAACTCAAGTTACCCAATCTCCACCACCCGGATTGTTAACCATCGTAATCACTTCAAGATGAGAAGTTGTCCATTCAAAAAGAAAAATTAACACTTTTACAGAATTTTTATAACACTAACCGAAACCCTGAGTCTGTTAGACCCCATTTGAAAATAATGTACCCCGCATAGAAAGAAACCTACAAACCGAAACCCTGGGCCTGTGAGACGCCGCTTTAAATACACTAACGCTGGGCTTCTGGGACGGGCATTTTATGAACAGACGACCTGCCAAGGTAACGGCACTCACGCAAAATGAACAAACAATATAACAACAGGTAGGGGAGGAAAAGGTAAGTAAACAGTGTTGCCTAGTTGCAGTTTTTGCTGTTATTGTTATTTTAGATATCCGTGTCCATCATGTGATGAGTCTATGATGGTGTCTTATCGATTGGCAGGTGATTAAGTTAGTCATTTGCTATAATGCTCTTGTCTTTCTGATCTTTACTATTCGGCTGGGTCTGGCTCCATTTATCCCGATATCATGATATGCCTCTAGATCAAAGGAGTTAACAGGTTTAAGGTTAGAGGTTAATAAAGATTTAAGCTACCTGTTGTCTGTCAAAATGACCATGTTGTAGTATAATTAACTATAGCTGATTCGAATTGTCATAAATAGAGCTCATTTTCAGGTTCGAATGCCTTACTAATGATTTTTAATGGTTAAGTTCTTCATCACTGACCCAGGAGATTTAAAAATAAAGCAAAAAATACATAAAAAAATTAACAGACATGAAACTAGATTTAATAAACTGGTCGACCAGATTATTAACACGTAACGTTCTTTAACTCACCCCACTCATTATCCTCATGCACCACAGGTTTGTCTTCCTGTTTGGTAGCGACAACCGGAGTGACTTCAACTGGAGGTTTGGCCGCTTGTTGAGCTCTGCAGTAGCTGTCATCACATCCTGTGTTGGGTCTGAGCTTCATCTGGGGGAAGAAATCAGTCAGAGCGTTGTAGCCGAGGTACCACGACACTTCTCCAAACTTCAACAAGTACCTGGAAAACAGGTTAAATGGATTAGACAGGACTAATGGGTAGCATGGATGGTTGCTGCATGTATATATTTATTGCCTAGTAAGAGATTGCTTTTCAGATTCTGAGAAATTTCATTAGGCCTATAAACAACCCTCTCTTCAGCTTGTTTGTGACACTTTCAGTGACAGTGATGTAATATACATATATAACATTTGTATAGTGTACAGTATGTGTTTCTTGTGCCATATGAGACTCTTTCGCATTCAACTAAGCCTGATATCCTCACAAAAATCCTTAAAATATTCAATATCTGCTGTCTGGAAGACTTACTTGAGAGTGTTTTGAACTAAGAATCCAGCGACGACTCCCATTGTAGTGGGTAAACTGGCTGCACACACTCCGTCTTTCTTCAATGTCCGTTCATCCACATTAGAGGCGACAATTAGTGGTGGGGCACACTGTGGGAGAAAAAACAGATATTGCTTTCTAACAATGTATATGTTAATTAATATACATTTTTTTTACCCCTGACTATATTCCATCAATAAATCTCTTACGCAAATAACTCATTTAAGTGCACAAATTATAATATTTTATAGTAGGACACCAGTTAAATGACATGTTATCACCTAAGTGTTTGTATCAAACAACGTTAGGGGAAGAATGTTCTTTGGTGTAAGCATACTAAAATATTGACAGAACAATTTTGAAAAGTACACTCTATATGCTTATAAAAATACATAATCATCCAACTGTTCAAGTAACAGTACCTATAACAAATAATTAAAAATAGAGGTGCACAAGATCAAAAAATTTTGAGGAAATATCTATTCATCTTTTCGTAGGAGGATTTGAGTGCTAGTGGAATTGTTTAGGAGGAGAATCTTAATATTATTGTCATTTCAGAAGACATCTGAAAGTTTATACAACTGCTTGAAGGACATAATCATCATGGCTATGGCTACGCTGCAATATTGGAAGATGATTATTAGAATGCACGATTATAAATCAGAAACGATTTTAATTCCACCAAAATTAATAGAAACAATTTAAATCTTATAAAAGCATTTTTATAATAACTTGTATTCTGAAATCAGTATCTAGAGTTCGGTTCGGTTTTGAGGAATAAAATAAATCTGACTTGGCCAATTTTTAGCTAAGTGACAACCAAACTGGGTAATATGTAAATTTTTTTAAGATGCTTTAAACAACAAATTCAATTGAGCAAATATGTTTAATAATACTACTTCTACCAGAGCCTTTGTACATAAGTAACAAATATTAATAAGGAGACAATTAAATAAATTGAAATCTCTCAATTACAGGTAAAGTAAATGGTACGCTGTTGAACAAATGAAAGAGATAAATTTATAAAAAAAATTAATAAATTAAATACTTTCAATGAGGAGCTAATGATTCCTTACAGTTTCTGTTATGAAAAGAAATGTTTAGAAACCAAATTTATATGGTTTTATTCAACTTAATAGTCAGCTACATTTTACATGAGAGAATTGCACAAAACTGTAAACATTACATACATAAACAAAACAGTCTTAAATAAAACAGCTGAATAAATATTTGACAGTACAAAAGGAATCATATTACATAACATTCACCCCATCTTTTTTTAAATGTAATCTCTTAGATAGGTGGGAGGTCTTCGGACTCTAGTGGAACGACGCAGGTTTGTTTCTTCGTTATCCCTCACAGAAGTAGGGGTCACGGTCTCATGCAGAGGGGATGTTTCGATTTCAGATTGAATAGAGTTCCCAATTTCAGGTTGAAGCAGATTTGATTCACGTCTCAGGTCTTGAAGAGCAGGATCTAGTTCTTGACTGGGATTTTCCGAAGTCACTGGCTCATCCTCTTGTTGGATAGCTTCAGGAGGAACAGCGAGATGTCGCACCGATACCAGAGCCTCTCTACCATCTCTATACTTGATGCGAGCATAGTCTGGATTAGCCTCTATCAGCTGAGCTTGTTCCACTAAAGGTTCATATTTGTTATTTCTTACATGCCTTCTCACTAATACTGGTCCTGGATTCATGAGCCATTGAGGTTGAGAGGTGCCATAAAATGATCGTCTCTGGTGTTTGAAAAGTCGTTCATGTGGGGTCTCATTCGTAGCTGTACATAGTAACGAGCGTATACAATGCAAAGCTTCTGGCAAAACATACTCCCACTGTTCTGTCTTCAGTCCCTTGTTTCTCAGAACAAGAGATACAGTCTTCCAAATCGTTCCATTATATCGCTCAGCTTGAGAATTACCTCGAGGGTTATAAGGTGAAGATCGGCTAGTGGCGATTCCTTTAGAGTGTAAGAAATCACTCAGTTCTTTTGACATGAAAGCAGAACCTTGGTCGGAGTGGACAAAAGCAGGCATACCAAAGATGGTGAAGATTGATGTAAGTGCTTTGATGACAGAAGATGCTGATGTGTCCGAGCAAGGAATAGCAAACGGATATCTTGAAAACTCATCAACAACCGTGAGTATGTATTTATTCCTTGTCACAGATGGTATTGGCCCCTTAAAATCAATGTTAAGTCTCTCGAAAGGAGCCATTGCATGGATGAGTGTTGATGGGGTTTTTTGGTAGAACCGAGGTTTCACTTCCGCACAAACAGAGCATGAAGCGGTCATTCGCCTGACATCTTCAATAGAGTAAGGGAGATTTTTACTTTTTAAGAAATGAACCATCCGTACTATTCCAGGATGCCCAATGTCACAATGAATTCTACGGAGTTTTTCAAAATCTCTACAAGAGATGGAAGATGAAACTCGTGAAAATGCATCTGCTACTACGTTTTCCTTGCCAGAACGGTACACTATGTCATAAGAGAAAGGTGCTAGTTCCAATCGCCACTTTAAAATCTTGTTGTTCTTAACCTTTCCCGCGTGTTTCTGATTGAACATATATGACACAGATTTCTGGTCTGTAATTAATTTAAACCGTCTTCCAATCAGGAAATGCCTCCATTTCTGTATTGAATCGAATATTGCGAGGGCCTC